AATACTAAGTATTTAGAGTTATGCTACATGTACAAAGTTTGGTTACAAAGTTGGCTGACAAAAAAACATCTACACCAATCATTTTAAAAACAGATTTTTAAATCATTTGAAATCAACGGTTTAAATTTTGCCAACACACTTTGTAAGCAAACTTTTGTAACTATACTTTGTACAAATAGCTTTATTGAATATTCTCTGACCTGGCCGCCATGTCCACAAAATCTTTTGACCCACGTGCAATTATGGGTTGCACCAAATTTATATGCATTAAATTTGTATTTTTGACCATAATATCCTTCTTGGGCTTCTATATATATAGTCGAAGTTCTAGCAGTTTATAAGGTATAAGATTTTCTTACGATCAAAGACCACTTATAAGTAAGAAGCAGAAAATCAAAGTAAAACACAAGAATTCAAACCTCAAACTCTCTTATAAAGATAATTACCTTTGAAAAACTCATTCATGGATTCTTCATTCTTACATTACTCTTTGAACACACAAAATCTTACTTTCAATGAGAATGACTCCAAAGTGATGGTGCTCTATGGAGTATTAGCAAAAGCCAGGAGTTTCGAATCCTCATCGGAACGAACTGATCGAATGCAGTACTCGCCGGAGAAGGAAGTAATGTATAGATGACGCAGAACGGAAGTTCTAGGTTTACAAACGTAAACTCAAACGAGAAAGAATTGTAATTCACAAGAAAGTAATAGCCTCCAAAATTGAATTATGCTATTCAGAGACAAAAGAGCCTTTAAGTAGTTTCTGGAAACCTTAATTTAAGCAAAAAGACCAAAATAGACATTCACTAAATCAAAGCAACTAAAAACGGAAAAACCAAAAATAAGGCTAAAACTTTGACTGCTAGGTAACACGTCTTAAACTGCGAATCAGAGGCTGGAAACTACGTCAACTGGGATAACCCGGGTTGGGATGGTATGGAGCACTAAAAGACGTTTTTGTAAACATATTATAATAGAAAATCTGATACCAGTGAAAAAAGTTATGCACGTTTCTTCAAAACAGCCCTTTTAGGCAATTTACGGTCCGATTCTTATTCAAATGCTAACGCCAATTGTCTTACATCAATAGAGCCAATTGTCTTACATTAATAGAGGTGTGCGCCAAAGACCGTGGGGAAAGTACGCCACTGAAATAAGGGATTCTACGAGGAATAGGTGAGAGTGTGGTTGGGAACTTTTGACACTACAGAAGCAGCAACAGCCTTGGCTTATGATCAAGCGGCATTAGCCATGCGAGGGTTGACCGCGATGCTCAACTTTTCGGCCGATGTTGTTTACAAATCTTTGAAAGAGATGAGGTACGATTTCGAGGCTGGATGTTCACTGGTGCGGCATGGAAGAAAAGACACTCTATGAAGAGGAAAACAGCGAGTAACAAGAAGAAGGAAAAGGAACTAAGGCTGGAAAAGTTGGTGGTTTTGGAGGACGGGTTCTAAATAATGATTTTTTATTTAACTTTTGCTAATCTGTCTCTTCATTGGAAAAGTCATGCCCACTTGCCAATTCACATCACCTTTAAATAATACAGTAATTCGATAAAGAAAACTTTCTCTAGTCTTTATTTCGGGGCATTATTATGATTGGCCTAGTTGACTAGACTTTTTATAAAATTGGTTAAAAAATCTATATTACCCTTAATGATATGGGTTTTCATTTATTGCAAAACATATCCTTCTCTTATGTATAGCTCTAAACAAATTCATTCCTTGTTCCAATAAATTACTATTGGGCTGTTCTCTTTGTGTTTTAGTTTTGTATTTTGAGTTTTGAATTCATTTTGTGTTTTAAGTGTCCATTTTAAGATTGTTGAAAATGTGTTCTTTTTCCCATTTTGGAAAATTGTTTTGAAAAACTCAAAATTGAAAATGTGTTCTCATCCAAACACGTTTCTCGTCTCTCTCTCTCTCTCTCCATCCCTAGCTCTTCCTCCCGTCTATCTCTCTCTCCTTTTTGACCACAAGCTTGGCCTTCTTCACACAGTGAATGAACTAAACGGTGTAGATTCCTTCGACTGCGACGTGTGTAGAGGTGAGGGGAAGGGGACGACTGGGAAATGGAGGCAAGGGGAGGGTGGCGGCGGAACGAAAATTGGAGCGTTTTCTGAATTAATTGGTGCAATTGACATGTAACCTATCGTCTCATGTGCCCGCTGAAGACTCAATTGGGGCCAATTTGATGATTCAAT